CCCCCCCGTTCCTCCCCGCCCGCCGGTCCGGCCGCCACCCTCGCACGCACACGCCCGCTGCCGCGCCATGTTCCGGAGCCGGGACCCGCCCCGCCCCGCGGCGGCGCCCACCTGCGCCGCGGCTACCAACGGCCTGTCAGCGGCCAGACAGCGGCCCGGGCCCCAGTGAGGGGCGGCAGGCTGAGCCCGTACCTGCTCTGGAGAGGACGCGGCCGGCGGCAGAACCGAGGGCGCTCCTCCGGCGCCGGGCTCGACCGCGCCCTCCTCTTCGGCGCGGTTGCCACGCCCCCCTGGCACTCGGACCCGCGGCGCGGCTGGCGCGGGCGCTTCAGCCCCGGAACGGCTGCCTCCGCGTGGCCGCCGCTGTCGCCGTCGCAGGGGCCGCCGCCGCTGCCGCCGCCGCCGCCGCCGCCACCACCGGGGCCGGGCTTGAAAACATCTCCGGTCGCGGTCCGTCCCTCACCACAGCCGCCTCGCTCCCCGCACGGCCCCGCTCCCCCATTGGCTGTGGCGCGGCACGTGACGCGCGCGCACGTGACCCGGCGGCAGAGTCGCGCCGTTGTGAGCGCCCCGCCCCTCGTGGGTGCAGGCGGGGGAGGCCGCTGTGGGCCGGCCCGCACCGGAAGCCCGAGCGGCGGCCTGGCCTGGGAGGGCGCGGAGAGAACGAGAGGACGCAGCCTCAGAGCGGAGGCCGTATCGGGCCCCGTGGCGGCCACGGAAGCGGCGGCAGCTGGAAGCTTGTGGAAATGGCGGCGCTGGGACGCGGCTCCACAGAGGGTATTCACACGCTGCTTCCAGCAGGGACCGGTGGAGGGAGGTTGAGCTCGGTCCCGTGCGGCCCCGCGCGGGCCGCCGCCTCGAGCTGGGCTCGGGCGAGGCGGGGTCTCCGGGGCGGGGCGCGGGCCTCTCCTCCGGGGTCAGGCCGGGTGCACTGCGCCTGCGGGCCGCACCTGCACGGAGCCCGGTGCCGCTAGGTGGGCCTCGTCCCCCCCCACGGACCGTGCACCTGCAGCCGCGACGGCGCGACACACCTGGCCCCCGTCATCCCTTACACGTTGCAGTGCGTTTTCCACTTGCAGGATGGAGGATTCCAGGGAACTGCTACCTACAGGGCCACGGCACCTTCTCGGAATGCTTTTTTTGGTACCGGGGATCGGACCTTGTGCATATAAGGCAGGCGACGGAACCACTGAGCTAAATTCCCGGCCCGGGATACTTTTTATCTGTCTACGTAGAGGTTAACTTGTAGCAGTTGTACCTGCCCAGCCACCCAGGGAGGTGTGTACTCCGCAGTAAATCACCTGCTCCCTCATCAGCAACTGTGGGTCTAAATTCAGCGTCCAATTGCGCATTAGTGAGTGCAGTCTCACGTTTAGGTCAGATTGTCCTTTATGTCACTGATATGAGGGCTCCCATTCGACAGTCAGACTTTTCAGGAAAGCTGAGTTCCAACAAATTACTTTATAAAGCAGAAGCCTACGATAAAGACCAGGATTTTTCTTTTTTTTCATTTCCTAGACTTCTCCCACCTATGATCATTGAGTTCAATATGAATAGTAAACGAGCCTTTTTGGCTAGAGGTGGAATATTGTTACGTTTAACTTAGAATATGCATCATGTAACATTTAAAAAAAAAATAGTCAAGAGAGACTAAGGTGGAAAGCACATACTTTTAAGATTTTGAAAAATTACTTCTCTCAAGATTAAAAAAAAAACGTACATTTTAAGGACATATAAGACTTAGTAAATCTTGGGCTGAAAGTGTAGTTCAGCGGTAGAATGCTTGCCTGGCAAGCAGGAAGCCCTGGGTTTGAGCCCCCTACAGTGCAAATAATAATCAGTTTTTAGGCACCATATTTACTGATGAACAATTAGTGTCAAGCACGAGCCAAACAAGGACTTTGATAAATCCTGAAATAATGGGATTCGTTTATATTTGTCCAATTGTTGAAGCTGGCTGTATTTCTCTGTTTACAAAAGGAGTGTATTGTAGCTTGTTTCTTGAACTGGATGTAATGTACAACCGCATTCATCCTTTCTTGTAAGTTGTAATGGCCCTGCAACTGAGAATTTATTTGCATGTCCAACAATCTTCAACTGATGATTATGCTGATTTCTTCCATTTGTATATATACAGTGTTAGAAGGCCGAGGAGACTAAGGATTTTGTACCTTTGTAAAAAAGATAAATGCTTTTAGAAAAAACTACCTCCTATTATTATACCTACAATGGGCTTCAAGTCTTACCAGTTGGAAATAGAGTAACAATTGTGTCCTGTAAATATTAAAATGTTTAAAGGAATATAAATATATAAAGCTTATAGAAACATAATGTTAACTTAGAACTTCTCTGTGGCTAAAGATGGGAAAACAGTGTATTTGAATTCAACAGAAGTTTTACTTCACAACACCCTAACGTTGGTAAAAGTGACACTAGGTAACTGTTAACTTGATCACATAATGTCTTCGTGGCCACTGATAGCAGACAACTGTAAAATGGTGCTGTCAAGTGGACATAATATTTACAGCTGCAACTTGCCAGGTTACCAGGGTGCACACAGAGCAGGATAACCAAATAATAAAAAAGTTTATGTAGATAGGAGGTTCACACTTTATTTCTCCAGCGACATATTTACAGCAGAGTGTAAATTAGAGGCCTGCTTGCACACCAAACCCAGGTCCTTTAGGTGGTTCAGTCAACGAGGTGAGACCTCCAGCTGGCTCACAACAGAAACGCCCACTCCTGGAAAGAAAAGCAATGCTATATTTACTATGTGATGACTAACATTTGTTAAAATTGTAATTATTATAACAGCTCATTAAGTAATTGTTCCCCCTGTCCCTAGATGCAGGTTGTATGACCCAGAAGACGTCCAACTTTATTTTAATAAACCGGGGCTCTCTTATTTCTTGGATTGGAATTTTAGTTGGATTGAAATAGGCTGTCACAATGACTACAAAGAAAACACACATTTATTTGTACACTGCATTTAGATAGACGCTGGATTCCCTGAGTAATCTGAGCGATTGGGAGACTGTCCCTTAGAAGCAGTGAACCCTAACTCTATTGTATTTGCTTTGTAAAGGCTACTTTTTTTTTTTTTAAGTTGCAGAGCAAAGCTGAGCATGGTGGTGCAACCCCGCAATCCCAGCACTCTGGGAGGCTGAGGCAGGAAGATCACAAGTGTGAGCCCAGCCAGGGCAACTTAGCAAGACCCTGCCTAAAACAGAAAAATAAAAAACATCTGGGCATATAGCTCAATGCAAAGGCCCTGGGTTCAGTCCACAAAAACAGACTGCAGACCATTTGGCATCTAGGGCCATAAAGAGAACAAAAACCCAAAGGGGTGCCAGTGGGGGAACCTATTAGGAGGCAGTGGAGAGGCAGGAAGAACCTGTCTTCTTCACCCCACACACTTTCCCAGGTAGCCTCTTACCTCTGTCCTGCCTGACCTCTGGCGGGAGCCCAGCTCAGCGCCTGCTCCTCGCTTCACCCCTCCACTCCCTGTCTCTGGTGGTTTACCTTGTTCCTGCCCTGGAGTTAGTGAAGAACTAACTTAATTTGTATCTTTTCAGTCCCTTCTGGCTTGGCTCTTCATATTCTGTCATCAATCCCCTAAAAGTCTGTTCCTTACAGCCCTCAAATGAAACTTTTGTTGCAGGGATGAAAAATGACATCACATAATCATTTATAAGATCTTTCAAGCTATATATATATAATATATATATATTATATAAGTACATAATATAAGGAACCAAGTAATTTACTGTAATAAATAAGGCCTACAAAGTCAGAAATTAGTAACATTTGTATTGTCAATCTTTTTGCTATAAAAACCAGATCAAAAAGTCACTGTGTACTTCCTATTAGAACCTAAAACTAATGTGGTAAGTGGCTAAATAATATTTAACTTGAAAATCAAGCAGCATCTGGCATTGTAATCTTTAAGTATCAACTAATAATAGGTATACCTGCTGCTCTGATTTAATTTTATAGGACCTTGTCGGTTAAAGCTCAGCTACCTCTCCATCAAATTTCTTCCACTACCTACTTTTCTCTTCCTCAAATGTCAGAATGGAATGTGATGTAAAAGTTTCACTTTAGAAGTCTACTGAAAGCTAAGCATTTGGTATCAAAGCCTCTTACCACTTTGGATATGGGGCTTAAATGAATAAGCTCCTTAATATTGATATCTTCTTTGCCAATACAAAGTAAGATTATACACACTGAAGTTTCTGGAGCAACAAATGGAAGAATCATACATACTTCATGAGCGCTTAGAAGGATTTTGGAGTTTTATAAATGGAAGTAATTTTTAAAATAATCTGACCCAAAGTTTCCTAAAGCTTGCTCTGTGAAGCAATCCTCCAACATACTTTAAAGAAAAAGAGTTCCGGTGGTCCAGGATGTCTGTCTGCAAACCTTTCTCTGCCATTCATACAACGCACATTAAAATACTGTAAAGTCTATAAAACTGTTTAGTCATCTAATCACTTACTAAACAAAATGACTTGATACTGCATACTTAAAATGCTGCCTATAAATTACCTTCATTCATTAAAATTCAAAAAGTAAATGTGGTGTATTAGCCATTCTAACACTGTACACATACGTACCATTTTAACATATTTGCATTTGGAAATCATGGCCTTTCTGTGAATTTTTATGGCTTACAGAAAAGTACTAAAAGTACTACTTTATGAAAGTTTAGTACTTATCTTTTTAGTATTACTGAGATACATCCATCATGGTCCCTTTTTTTTTTTTTAATGGTACCAGAGATCGAACTCTGGTCCTTGTGCTTGCGAGGCAGGCAGCAGAACCACTGCCTACTTTGTGTATTAAAAATCCAAAGTGTCTAGAACAACTGTGCTAGAACTGTAGCCTAGTTACTCAGTTTTTTTTTTTTCTGATACGAGGAATTGAACTCAGGACCTTGTGCTTGCCAGGCTGGCATGGCACCACTGAACTAAATCCCCGGCCCCATAGTAACCTGTTTTTACATTGAATAGACAGAATTCTGCATATTTTAAGATATCTTTATAAAACTCAATATGAAATATAAATTAGATGTTATTTATACTCCTTACTGAAAACAACTTCTATCTTAATTATGGCTTCTATCTTAATTTAATCAGTAATTTGAAAGCAGGCTTAGAAGTTACTTTCAGTGCCTTACGTTGAAAATAAAAGCAATCCTGGCACATAAATATAAAGTCAAAATGAGTATTATCTTACCACCATTTAATATTTTCTTTCCATTTACCAAAACTAATAAAGGCTCTAGCTTACACTGTGGACAAAATCCCAATGAAGAAATATAATGAATTATCGATAAGCAACATTATTATTCATGTTAAAAATGCTTAACCGTGGTACTTTCTTATTAATGTTGTTATTAATGTTGAGTACCTATTTTAAAAAAGGAATTCTAGTTTGACTCGTGGCAGTCTTACCTAGACCCGAACACTTTGAACGACCACCCAGCCTTAATTCATCTGCTACATCCCAGGGTCATAGGTACCTGAGAGGACTCTGCTATGGATGTCCAACAGGCATGCCCACCACAAACTAAACACAAATCTTAACCTTTCTTAACCTAGCCCACATCTCCATTTTAAAGGAATCACGGAAAGGCTCAAACCAGAATGGTGCAAACACTCTTAACTCCTCAGTCCAACAACACCGCTAAATTCTCAACTACTCTCCACATAGCTCCAGGACGGTATTTTTCACCAGACGCCGGCTGAAAGCTCCCAAGAACAGCTCGTTCCTTCACACAGGGCCCACGGCAGGCTCCTCCAGCTGCAGCCGCGCTGTGCTCTTCCCGTCCCTTCAAAGCCCCAATACCCTCCCCAGTATTTTCCTTCCCCTCATTTTTTTTTTTTTTTTGGTACCGGGGATCGCACTCGGGCCCTTGCGCTTACACAGCAGGCGGCGAAACCACTGAGCTACAATCCCCGGCCCTCCTCCCCCTCTTTAAATGGTTCCCTCTAGCTCTTCGTTCAGACCGTGACCCCAAAGCTTCCTCCTCAGAAAGGCCTTGCCAGATGGAATTTACTCCTGTTCTCTGTCCCCTATGCTGCCTTGTTTTTCTTGATAGCATTTATCACTCAGATATTTATCGCCACCACAAGTGTTACTGCACACTCACAAACTTTATCTTGTTCGTAACTGACATTTTGGTAAAAGAAATGAATACTGGGTCCGTAATGTAATATAATAAAGTAGACAAAGTATTACAGTTTGTGGCAGGAAAATACAGTACTAGATCAATGTCTATGAACCACAGATCAGGGTTCACAAGAAAGGAAGCAAGAAGTTCTAAGCAGAATTATGACTACAGAATTATAAATATCTAATTAGAAGAAAGGGAACCATCTAAAGAACCTAACTAGATTTCACAAGGGAAATCTGCACATAAGATTTTTTTTTAAATACCCAAAATATGAAAGAAATTACAGGTTAAGAAAAAAATCTGAACACTAAAGAATCTGAAGCCTATGGAAAATACTATAAAATGCACACTTTGGGGGAGACAGCAGGAGTCAGAATTTTAAACAAGAATAAGGAATAGGACCACTGGCCCAGGAAGATACCACAATGTTAAATGACAAAGTTTCATTTCATTTGCCAACAAAGACAGTGATATGGTTTTACCTCCTGATAAAGCAAATATAAGATATGTGTGGTAGCACATGCTTGTAATCCAGTGCTCTGGGGGCTATGGCAGGAAGATTGAAAATTCAGGCCCTGCCCCCACCCTGGGCAAATTATTGACTTGGGGAGATCCTGTCTCAAGATAAAGAGGGTGGGATGTAGCTTAGTGCAAAGGCCCTGAGTTCAATCTCCAATCCCATAAAAACAAAAACCAACCAACCAAACACCACTGCAAGTGTAATTCAAGAAAGTTAGGAACTAGAAAGCAAATACCAAACTTCTTCAAGCAAATGTATGCATATAGATTCAGGGTTATGTGTCTCTTAGAAGTTGTCAGTAGGGGTCAGCTAGTGTTTTCCAAACTTATGTTGTATTGATCTTATTTTCTCATTTAATAGGATTGTAAGTCTGTCAGAATAATGGATGTATATTTCTAGGGAGCAAATTACAGAATCACATTATACCCTCTGACTTCAACTTCAGGAATTGTTATTTATAATAAAAATTAGGAAAATTATTTTGAAACAGGGAAAAAACACATGATATCTTGTTCTAAACTTCAGAATACTATATGGCCACTAAAACCTACAAATGAGAGAAAGGTTTATATAACAAACAGAAAAAAATACTTGTAGGAGGGTTACAACTATATATAACCATACAAACTGCTGCTAGTATTAAAAGAACTCTGAACATTTAGCTACGGAATAGGGTCTTCAGCAAGAAAATAGGTAGAGCACAACAATAGGATGGCAGCATCTTGGACAAAGAGTGGGTAAGTTGAGAAAGACTTAGGTGTTCTGACCATGAGTGCACTTCATTGCGTAATGTGTCTGAAGGAGAGTTGATGTAATTATGATATGTGTCATATGTGGAACAAAGGAGGCAGTCCCACAGTGTTCTATCTTACTCAGTACGTATCTCGAATACAATCGTGTTGCTTAAGGACGAAGGTATGTTCTGAGAAATCCATCATTAGGTGACTGTCACTGTGTTATCAGAGTGCACGTACATAAATGACTTTGGCTGTATGGTGTTGCTGACTGCTCCTAGGCTACAAACCTAGACTGTATTACCACACTGAACACTAAAGGCAGGTTTAACAATTTTGAGCATTTGTTTGTCTAAACATGTTTTAAAAAAATAGTGAAAATACTAAGTTAACAGGAATGTTTCAGCTCTATTATAATCTTACGGGATGACCACTGTGTATGTGGTCTGTTGTTGACCAAAATATCATCATGTGGCATATGACTTTACTGTGATTAATTTAAGTACCACATTGAAGTCACAAGCCAACTAGAAATCCCACAGAAGGGCAGACCAAAACTAGGTCATATAAGAAAACACAGTGGAAGAACTGTGAATATTGAATCTGACCCAAAGATATGGGGATGACAGGATCGCTATTTCAAGTAACAGAAGCGCTATTATTTGGAAGAAGCATTAAAATTATCTTTCGGTAGAAAGTAGAGACAGACTTTGGATCAACCTTCTAGCAGGAACAAAATAGCTTAGTAAATTTTCCTTTACAAATATTTAGGTACATATCAGATAATTATCTGGTAGGATTTTAGAGAAAAAGATTTCCCTAGAAGACAAGTTGGTTTAGATATTATCCAAAGTTCTTCCCAATTAGAGATTTATAAGATTAATTTAGGTTAACCCATTAAAGCTGTATTATATATAAATGTAAGCATACCTTGGCCCAGGTTTTGGGATTCTGCCAGCTTTCAGCTCATCAATAATTTCTTCAATATCCTTAGATGTCAGATCCTCCTAAAAAATTTATAGCAGTCATTGAAATTACTTCCTACTATAGAATTCTGTGCATCGATTCTTGGCCTTTAAATCAAGTATAGTAGCTGAAATCTGTGTAAATCCCCTATACCAATTAGTTTGTCTCTCAGCTCCGAACATAGTTATCAAGAGAGCAACAAGTGAGGAACTCCAATACACAGCACATACCACTCATTGTAATATGATGAGCTACAGCTGAGGAAGAATCTAGAGTGCTAAATGTGAAGCACCTGCACTGGAGCCCTGGCTCCACCACTTAATACCAGTACTCTTGGACAAGTTATTCAGACTCTTCAAGCTTATTTCTTATTTGTAAACCTACCTGAACCTGTTCAGAGGATTAGATGAGAAAATGAAGTAGAACAGTGTCAAGGCACAAGCTCAATAAATGCTATATTCTTGAAGTACAAATAGTAATTAGCATCAGTAGTTATACTAATTTATAAGTAGATTCCTTAATCTATAAAGATCTAACTACTACTAACTGAAAGAATCTCTTATTTCTGACTGTTCACCTGTAGGCTACTGTATTTAGATTTACAATACTTCATACAAAGCCTTGATTATTTAATTCCCATTTAAATTGAGAAATAAATGTCTGGAGTCCAAAACCCAATGAAAACCTGGGGAGACAAATGGAAGACCAAGCAAACTTGGCTTCTGAGTTTAAAAGCCTACAGTGACAAAGGACAAAGCCCAAGCCCAGCACAAAAGAGTCTAAAGAGACCATCCAGCTTTAGATCCCCCAAAGCTAGGCCCTCAATGTGAGGGAAAACTTATACATTAAACTGACCCTCACAGGGCACCGCTCATGTGAAACCTTGCCCTGGGGAAGTGGAGGGAAGCTTGCAGTGTAAGGAGATAAACTTTCTGAGGCAGTAGGAGGAGGACTTCCAGGCACAAGAGAGGCAAAGCAAACTCCTTAACACATTCACGAAGGAGCCACAATTCACTTCTCGCTGCCAGGCAGCTTGAACCGTCAGTGGTACATGTATGACTGTCTCATCAGGCAGCTTTTAATTTTATTAGTCAAAAGACCAATAAAGGTATTAGATCCGTTAATACCAACCCGTGATACAAAGCTGATGGGACAGTTATGCATGTTATCACTGGTGGCGTTTAAGCCAGCAGGAACATATTAAAGAATCTATCATCACAGTAGGAACAACTAAAGAATTTCCATACATGAATCCTTAAGTGATAAAAGCTAACAAAGGAGCACAAAGGAAAATCATGATATAGTTAGGTCAAAGAAAAAGAAATATCAAAACACACGAGGTGCAGCTAAAGCAGTACTTACAAAGGTGTACAGTGGTGCCTTGGTTCATGAACACTTTTGTTTGCAAATAACATTGTTCACAAACAGAAGTGTTTGACAAAGTTTTGTTTATTTGCAAACTCTACATGAGGTGACAAACATGACCTCGGCCATCTTTCCCACACAAACACAAACATGGCCTTTTCCAAAATCATGGACCAAATTAAGTTCATTAGCTGAGCTAACACTGTACTACTAAATCTAAAATTCTTAGAACAGCAACATAACATTAGTATGGGTTCATACATAAAAAGTTTAAAAACATGTATTAAAAAAATACACATTAAATTAATAATGGATATCTTTGGAGATGAAAGAGGCAGAATAGGATTTGGGTAACTTCACCTATACCCACAGCTTATTTCTACAAATAATAATAACAATGACAATAATGACATAATAATACCTGAAATAAACGTTGCAAAATGTTAACCCTTAAGTCTGGGCTGCTGCTATTTATATGTAAATGATCTACTTTGTCATAAAATCCTTAGTCATCTTCTGGAAGAAGATACAAAAATGTTTAAAGAATTTTTTTTTAAACCAACTAGGTAATTATGCTAATGATTTTGTCTAAATGAACAAGTCAGAAAGCACCATCTACAGGACATGGAATTAATATTTTAAATATGACATCAGAGAACTTTAGTTTACATTAAGTGGAATACTTACATAGTAGTTGTCATTTATTTGAACCATTGGTGCGTTTACGCAGGCCCCTAAACATTCCACCTCTATTAGAGTGAAAAGTTTGTCAGGTGTAGTCTCCCCAACCTTTATTCCTAAAAATGTAAATGCATCACTGTGAAGGACTAGGTTACAGCTTAACAGCAGTCTGGTTTAAGAGCGAGAAAGCAGTTCAGTGTATTATGGAAGCACAGGTATAATCAGACCATGTGGTGAATGTTTAACTTTAAAAAAACTGACTACAGTAAACACACATTATCATTAACCCTTCTCAGAATACTCCCTCTTTTCTTTGAACACACTTAGGCCATTGTTCTTGTCACTTTCTGAAGCAGTTCTGCCAGTTTCTTCATGAGTGTCTTAAGTTGTGGTGTCACAGCTGCCTCAGTGACCAGAATTAATTAAAAACATTTACCTTTCTTAGTTATTTTGATTTTAGGGAAGATCCAGAGGTTGGACGGTGCCAAATCCAGTGAATAAGGTGGATGAGGACACACTGTAATGTTTCTATTTGACAGAAATTGATGTAAATGCTTGGTCACTGTGTATGATCCAAAAATACAGTGAAGGTTAAAAATTTTTTAAAATAATTTTTACACAGTAAGACATTTTGTCATTAATCCTCCTCAAAATACTGCCCTCCCCCTTGCTTAGAATACACCTATCTCATCATTCTTGGCAATGTCTTTCACTATAACAATTTTAAAGGTTTGATATTCACCCTGTTTTTTGATCACCCTTTTTTATATACAAAAAGTATTCCAAAGCATTAAGTTTCTTTAAGAAAGAAGACTTCTTTATGTAATTACACTGTAACATTCCAGGAGTTAATCAAATTTTGGGACTCATCTCCAATGTTTACTGTTGTGTAGCAGTGCATCAGACTGTTTTCTTTTCACTTTGATTGTAGTAACTGAACAAAAAATGTTACAGCCACTGTACCAGATTGGCAGACTCAGAAAACTACCGATGCCAAAGATTATTAAGAAGGTGAGGGAAATGGGTAGTACTTGCATGTATTTAGGGAAAGTAGTAAAATATGATAAAATCTGATCCAGGAATTGTACTTATACATAATCTCAGTTTGAAACAGGACAAGTATGCAAGGGTATGTGTACATGAAAGTAACTACAGATTAATTTACAATTCAAAAAAATAAAGCAGACAGGGCCAAGGATTTAGCTCAGTGGTTCCGGCGCCTGACTTGCAAGCGCAAGGTCCAGAGTTCGATCGCCGGTACCAAAAAACAAACAAAAAAGTAAAATTATTTTTGGGCTGGGGATTTAGCTCAGTGGTTTCGCCGCCTACTGCGCAAGCGCAAGGACCTGAGTTCGATCCCTGGTACCCCCAAAAATTTAAAAAATAAAGCAGACACACACACACTGTGCTATGGAAGGACAGCCAGAAATAAAGTGCAAAAAGCAAACTTAGACAATTACATTTATGCACTGAGTAATTAAAATAATGTAAAATCTATAACACATTATAAACAGTTATGGAAATGTTGTATACCTTGGAGGTGGGACTTGGGCTGACTTCCACTTTATATACTTTATTACTGCCCAATTACTTTTTATAATATCTAACTTAACAGAATTAAAAGATATTTTCTTTTACTTCATCTGACAAATGTAAATGCAGCAATCACAGTTTTATATAGAATTTTGTTCACGTATATTTACTTTTTTTTTTTTTTTTTTGGTACTGGGGATCGAACTCAGGACCTTTCACTTGTGAGGCAGGTGCCGGGAACCTATAGGATCTTTTAAAATTTCTTTTCCTAGGAACCATTCTTACTTTGCTCATATCTTATTCTATGGCTTCTTTGCAGGAATACATGGGACAAAAAGGTCACTTTTTTATGTAACACAGGACACTATAAAACAATATTCTAAACAATGAAGAAGTTAAAACTCATAGAAGCTTTACAAATAAAATTCATGATTAAAATAGGTTAAAAACTCAGCTTTGAGGCTGAGAATTAGAGACAAACATGAAATAGAAACAAAGATGAGTAGAACAAAACAAAATTTTACTGGCAAAGTATAGGTCCAGTAAGATGGCAGAAGTTGGAAAACTTAGGTAGAATTGTCAAATTTAGAAACAATTCTATTTTTTAAGTAACAGTTACAAATACAATGTATCTCATACCAAGCTTTTGCTGAATGGCCTCCAGGATGCTGTCAGAGTCTCGGAGCATGCAAGGTGTTGTAGTGCAGACCTGAATGTGGTACTTCCCAACTGGCTTTCGGTTGTACATTGTATAAAAAGTAGCTACTTCATATACTCTCATTGGAGGTACTTGTAAAATTTCTGCAACCTAAAATATTAGGAAGTTTTTAAAGAAGATAATTACAATGTTTATTAATTGAACTTTGGATATTTTATTTTAAAAAATTTCAAAACTGCCTCGATTTGGTAAAAACCTAAAAGTTCTAAGAGCAGAAAATGTACTTTTATCTGGTAGTTGTGATATAAACCCTTCAATTTTTCCAAACATCTTACACTTAAACATAACACCAGTACTTCCTCCTCCTCCCTTCCCCACCTGTCTCACCCGCTCAGAAGGGTACTCTTTTCTCTACATCTTTCAGTATTATGAACTTACACTTTGATCATTTCAGCTGAGATATTTTTTTAGCTGACATTTTTTAATTTAAATTCTTTACATGACAAAAACTTAGCAATCAACTACCAAGAAAGGAAAGTTTAACTCTTCACCAATTTTTCAAAATAGCCTGATGTTACTGGTAATATATAGTGTGCAAATATGCCAACAGAAAAAAGGTAGAATCAAGCATCACTATTAGCTCATACTTTTTACACGTATCACCTCCACATCTAGATATGGCAACTAAGATGTGGTATTCCTACCATGCCTCTCCAGAAAATCTAAGACACAGCTTCTATTTCACATCACAATACTTTGTACAGGAGCTGGGCCTTACAGAGTAGCATTTCCTAATCCTTTGTACAGCAAAGAAATGACAGAAAATACTTGTCTGGCATCCTGGATTTCAGGACTGTGCAGACCCCTCTTAGCACACTACTCAGGCCCAGTCTATACGGAAAACGAGGCCTCCACACTGCTTGTGAGGGCTGTTCCTTGTACCACTACCATGACTCTAATCCTAACTTTCTAGGTGACCTAGTATCATTATCTACTGAGTTGGAAGACTTGTACCTGGCATTCTTAAAGTGTGTGTGTGTGTGTGCGTGTGTGTGTGTGTGTAGCTGACATATACGTGTCAGTGGTCTGCCATGAAATTAGTTTATTAGTGGCATTTCAAGTGACAAACAGGTTAAACTTTCTCATAGCAAAAATTTAAAATAAATGTATTCTCAAAAGACATCTAATCACAGCTCACTTGTGAAAGATAAAGTAGTTGTGGTATTTAATTTGGTAGTTGTAAACCAGGGATATGCCTCTGACTCTGGGGTACTACCAAAAACATGCCACCACTATACTGATTTAATAAACCTGGAGCGAGGCCTAGATTGTCTGATTTGGAAATGGAATTCTGCCACACACTTCCCTATACTTTCTTGACTGTTAAGGGACTAATCAGAGAACTTTTGGATTTTTTGTTGTTAAAGTCGAGCATTTCTTCTGTTGGGGGAAGGAGAAACAGTAACATTAAAATAAAAGGGCTGGAGATTTAGCTCAGTGGTTCTGCCGCCTGCCTTGCAAGCGCAACATCCCGAGTTCCATCCCAAGTACCAAAAAGATAAAAATAAAAAGTCCCAATGGAAAATGGAAAAAATCTTGACTCTGTTCTCTATATTCTATTTTCTGCCTCTCCCTAAGTAGGACAATATGTTTTAAATGCTCTCATATTAGCATTATTTATTTTGCTGTAAGGTTGCTCTCTGCAAGATTTCCAACAGGCATGCTATTATTAAAAACATAAAATTTTTGTAAAAAATGAAACAAAAACTAGGGTTAGAAGCATATACCTAAATTATTTAGAAAGTGGGTATTAATTTCTAAAGAAAATTAACTTCCAAAGAAATATGACATTTATTAAAAAAATAACCAACTATGTTTACTAAACAGTATTTAAACTAGCTCTGTAACATTTTTTCATAGTGAAAAAATTATTAAAGGTCTACATGTAATAGGAAACTGCAACGCAAGTAAAAGATCAATTGACTAAATCTAAAATTTGCATTTGGGATTATTGTATGTAAATGGAGGACACTGCTATTCTCTAAGAAAGGTGATGGTCTGGCCTAACAGTTATGAGCAAGTCAAGTTTAGAAAATGAAAGAATAAAATGCAGCAGCATCTGTGGTCAAGTAAAAAACACTCTGCATGGCAATGACTTCAGTCCCACCTCTATATTTAGGGATCATAACACAGTGACTGGAAGAGTTCAGCCTCATTCAAAACCATCATGCTGATGAGGACGCAAGTTTATATAACATTGCTTAGCATTACATTATATAACATGGATTCTCATAAAAATCAAATTACATATGGTTTTTGTATGGCACTTTGTAAATGATACACTATATTACCACACAAATGTAGAAATAACAGGATATAGAAAACCTGAACTTTGGACTACTGCTGAAAACTATTTGGAAAAAAAATCTTAAAATACATATAGAATAACTTCATATAAAGTGGGGCATCCATAGCATTTCTGTAGGTAGATTACAAAGTGGCATAATCAAGTGACATGAATATCACATATTATATAGACGTTTGTTAAGGCCTATAGCCAAAGATGCAAAATATTAAAAACATTCACACTCACTATGAGATTTTTAATGTAATTCTAGTGTTGAAACAGTACATTAATTTTCAGAATATGTTGTCACTAAACACATCTGAGATCTTTTATCTTTACTATGACCATTTCCCTCAAAATGAAGAGAAAGAAAAAGTTTCACCATGAGTCCTCCAATATTTTCAGCAAGAATAGAGAGCTCTACTTCAGTTCAGTGTATTAAGAAAATTATTAAAAACATGAATACAATTCAAGGAAACATAAATGACTGAAGGGCTACAAACTTGGAGAGGATGACACCCATGATGAGCAGACTGACTGTGTGAGGAAGTCACTGCACATTACCTCTCCTCTTTTCTAAGGCAAAAGTGAACTCAGTACCTTGTTCATAGCAGAGATGGGCAACCACCCACTCTGCCTTTGGGCTAAGTCCAAGACTGGAAGCACAGCTGCCGCTTTATGCCCTTCTGGATAGTTTCTTACAATTGCCTCTATCCTCTGTGTAGAAGAAAAAGCATGAAGTTTATCTATCTGGAAGATACGAAATAATCTGTAAGTTAATTATGTTAATTTAGTCATACCTTATAGTTTTCTGGTGTGAAATCAAATGGAGTATCCGGATTATTCTCAGGGGTATCTCTGTGCTAAACAAAGAAGAAAAAGTTTTCTGAAACTATCAAAATTATCTGAAGTGTGAATAAACAGTATTCATTACTAGACTATTACCAACCGTTTAATCTCTCCAGTTTAATTCCAACACAACTTATGTCAATCTATCCTTCCATCAAAAACAGTGACTAAAATATACAGTTGATGAGAGTGCTTACCAAAGTTAGCTGAAATCCAGCTTTAGAACAGTTTTGGAAAGGTGAACACATTCCCACCAGCTTGGACCACAGGTGGTACACGCATCACTGTGCCATCGGGCGGCTTGTATCACTGGTATGGGACCATACGCATACCAACCAGTGGTTCAAGCCACCTGGCAGCCAGACATAGGAACTGGCCCCATCATGAACATGTTAAAGAAGCTTTAGTTCCAAAATAAGAGCAAAATAAGTGTTATCCAACTTTATTAGGAATAAGATTTTCTTATTCAGTTGCCAAAATATTATCCATTATTGGAAGCCTTATGAAATTAAGACACAAAATTTGGAGTGTGAACACATGAACATTTTCCAAAACAGTATCAGATTGCCCAAGGAATCCGGGACCCAAAAAGGTTAAACGACCCACTACTTTAAGGAGTTACAAAAGTGCCGTCTGTTTTCCACAAATCGAAACCAGCAACATGGAGAAGGTTATTTCTTTCTTCTCCTTTAAAGAGCAGAGCAAGCTCTCTTCAAAAACCGACAAGAAATGGCAAGTCAACAGGAAATTGACTCACCCTGAGATTAACACATCAGTGTTTTGTATGTGTGGTAAATACAGAACTGAATTTCTTGATAAGCTAACTCTCAGTTTTGCTTTGTAAAAGGACATGACCAAGAGGAAGCAATATGGAAAATCTGGACAATAACTTCAAATACGTAGCCAATCTGATAATGTTTTAGACAAAGGAGATAAAAGCAGGAAGCTACTACTTATACCACTAACTAAATCATCATACAGATCTACATTACCTTTAAACACTAGGCTGATCCCTGAAAATACATCATGTCAGAAAACATGGACATGTTATCTAGTCCTTTCTGAACTGTGCAATTAAGCTGGGAAGTTCAGACTTCTACCTATAGTTAAAGCCTGGAAACCTAAAAATCAACTGCTAATGTATTCATTCACTACAGTACTAAAATCTAAGATTTTCAAACTAGTGCCATTTTATTATTTACCAAGTTACGGCCTCAGGACCTTCAGAGAGACATGACTCGGATTTTTAAAGAACCCAAAGTGAAATGAAAATCAGGTTAAGGCTCACAATAATTTCACCACAGAACTATCTAAATTCTTACTCTCAAAGTTTCCCTGGTGCCAATTTAAATGAGGTTCAGATGGAACCACACATCTTTTAAAATGTATAATTCAATAAGCTATAAATTCCCACAGTGGTCAGCATATACCAAAGAGTATTTTCTCCCCAGTGCTGGGGATAGAATGCAAGGCCTTCTGCATGCTAAGCAAGTGCTCTACCACTAAGCTATACGCTCAGCTCAAAATATTTTAGATATTAGTGGATTCAGTCCAATTCCCAACTCTTCTCGTTATGAAGAGATCTAATTACTTACCACAAACAAGGCTCCTCCGGCACCATTCTGCACAGCTGTCTTATGCAAATTCCTTATCTGTCTTCCCTAAAGTTTAAAATTTTAAGATTAATCACAACCCTTAAAGTGTAAGATTTATAATTTAAAACAACAATGAAGTTACATAAGTAAAAAAAATCTTAAGAGATATAGTCCACTACCCTTCTCCATTTCAGGAGCTATAAGAAAAAGGGAGATCCAAAAGCAGGCTCTTAACCTGCCTAAGGTCACACACATGTGGAAGAAGCATGACCACTACGCAGCTCTGCTCTACTGAGATGTGTTATCCTCTCAATTACGCCCGGCTGACTAGCACTTGGGGAATTCGTGTACCATCAACATCACACATTTCACTTTTGCCTCAACCAAACTGGGTGCCAGCTTTCATTTAATGTGGACCTTTGTGAATGTTTGCACTCTGAACAAATGAGCCAACAGTACCCTTCTTACTCAAGTAGTTCACAAACTCCAGCCACACAGGTGGCTTCAGTGAGCCACTTACGATCCTTTGCAGGCGGACAACACACAACTGCTTTGGAAAGAACTGGATTGTTCTCTCCACTGCACTGCACTGCACTGCACTGCACTGCAGTGCTCTCTGTGCTCTTGCTCCTCCCCTCTACAACTGCCCTCCCACCCTAAGCAATTCAACATCACACAGTCCTACAGTTTTGAGTTCTGTGAACCAGATGAGAGGGTACCAGATTAAACCAAGCAGGAACTGACTAAAGAGTTGGGCAATTCAAAGGCCAACAGACCACAGAGTAATACAACAGTAACATATTTAACCCTTTCCCTAGCCCAATTAGTATTTCTATAAAACACTTTAGCAAAAAGAAAGTACCCAGATACAGAATGTGAGACCTAAGTACAAATATGGGCGTGATAAATGTTTCCAGGTAATTGTGGGGAAATACAATCAGAGAGGTCCCCCTGTGGGCTTCAACTGTTTGCTTTTCCTTAGGCACATGGTGGACACACGAGTTTATATTCCTTACGTTTTGAGGGGGTTTTTTTTGGTACCAGGTATCGAACTCAGGTCCTTGCGCTTGCAAGACAGGCGGCGTAACCACTGAGCTAAATCCCCAGCCCTATTCCTTATGTTTTCATATAACTTCTTTAAAAAATGTGACACAAGGACTGGGGATTTAGCTCAGTGGCACCCCGCCTGCCTCACAAGCACAAGGTCCTGAGTTGGATCCCCAGTACCAAAAAAAGAGTGACACATTGAAAAAGGAGATGGTTATGTTCTTAAACCTTCAATTTCTCCCAAATTCAATCTGTGAAATTAAATATGAGGTTAGGCCTCTTATCTCTAATTTCTCTCTGCAGAACCTGGACAAAGATTAAAAAAAACAACAAGGCTATAATTTCTAGTGAATAGTAGAAGAACAGTATCACCAAAAGCTCTGAAAAATTAACTGAAACTAAAATTTAGAAGACCATCACTACTACCATCACTTTAGCTGAGAATATTTTTTAAATTGTTTTCAGAAACAGTGAGTTATGTAAATTCCGAGAAGAAAGAAGTTGTCCTCTGGGCTGTTTGCCTATGTTCTTGTGTCGGTACAAGGTGTGACTGAAGTATACAGTGGGTGTTAAAGTTATTACAGTAAAAGACACATTACCATTAATTGCCCTCGGAATACTAGTTCTTACTTAGAACAAACTTTGCCCGTCATTCTTGCCACTTTCTGAGCAGTTCTGGAAGTCCTCTTTCATGTCTTTAGTGGGCTGTCAGGACTGACTCAATGTCCTGAATTGATTCAAAACATTTCCTTTCATGGTAATTTAGGCTTTGGGGAAGAGCCAGATCCGGTGAGTGAGATGGATGCACACGCACCAGTGTCTCTGTGAGGCTGCCCATGGTGCAGACTGGCAGCATTCCAAGTATTTTTGATGACGCCTCATAAAGACACTTACAAAAGAGGATTTCCAGCAATGGATCAGAAAGGGTCAAGGATGATGGAACAGGTATGCTGGAATTTAGGAGGCGCTATTTTGACCAGATTAATAGAAATGAATCTTTCACTGTAATAAATTTTTTAAAAATTTAGGGGAGGTGTAGAGGAAGGGGGAAAAAAGAATTGGCATGTATTATGCACATGAACCAGTTCACCACAATGAAGGAATATAGTCATTATGTACTGCATACATGTACTAATGGAAAACATTTTTAAATTGTGACATCTGAGCTGGGCATGGTGGCACACACCTGTCAGCCCAGTACTTAGAAGGCTGAGGCAAGAGGATCTCCTGGAGTTTGGGGCCAGCCTGGACTACACAATGAGTTTAAGGCTAGCCTGAACTACATAGTGAGACCCTGCCTCAACACCCCCAAAAATAAATAAAACAAAATTTTGCCATTTGATAGGTAATAAATTGTATTTTATTTTTTAAAAAATGTTTAACATTAACCATGTATTTTGATCACCCCTAGTATGTAGCTGACAAAAAAAGTCCTAAAAATGATGCAAAAAAAAAAAAAATGTACTGGTGCCAAAATTACATCTGGAATTAAAAATTCTAGAGTTAACACAAAAACCCAAAACATAAACTATCATCCCTATTAAACACACTAATGAAAGAGCTGGAAAGCTGTAATTATATTATAATGATAAAATCATAAGACAAAATAAGTAATGTAAAATATTTTCTTTTGTTTTTCTCTATTTTTTGAACTTCCTATTTAGCAAGGATATACAAACCTAAAAAAACTCACTTAAAATAAAACATTCCCTGGATATGAAACAAAACATCATCTCCCTGTATATCAAATTAAATACCAACAATTTCTTAAGAGAGCTTGGGTTTTGAATCAACATTTGATCCCTTTCTCAGTAATCCAGGATGTGTCACGTACTTCAGCTGAAAATGTGGGCTCTGGAGGCCCCTCGGAAGACGTCTTTAAGGCCCAGGCAGCCGTGTACTGTCTGTGCTGGAGGTGCTTGCTTGCTGACCTGTAACCTCAGACACAGGGGAGCAGCTAAGTTCTAAGCGAGTCCTCCCAGTCTGTTTCTGCCTCCACCATTCCCACTTACTTTGTGGCCCTGCACAAGTCGCTTAATATTTTTAAGCTTCAATTTTTGTACCTATGAAACAGGGACTTTTTTTTCTTATTGGACTGTTTTGAATTTAGGTAGAAGTTTCTTTGAAGGCACTACAGAACCTGCTAAAGCATTATTAGCTGACACGGGATAAACATTTAGTAACTAGAAAACACTCAAACTGCTTTTCAAAAACTGGACAAATTTTTTTTAAAATTGTGCTTTAGCCGGGCGTGGTGGTGTATGGCTGTAATTCCAGCACTTGGGAGGCTGAGGCAGGAGGATTGCTGTGAGTTTGAGGCCAGCCTGGGCCACATAGTAAATTCAAAGCCAGTGAACTAATAGCGAGATCTTGTCTCAAAAAAAAAAAACCAACCAGGGCTGAGGATTTAGCTCAGTGGTTCCATCATCTGCCTCGTAAGTGCAAGGACTCGAGTTTGATCCCCGGTACCAAAAAAAAAAATCCAGCCAAATAAACAAGTAAAAACTGTGCTTTATAGCTGGCTTTAACAAGGAGTCACCATCAGAACAGATTACTGAGTTTCTTGCATTTGCACATAATTATGTTTTATTTATATCCACATAAGGCTATGAATATTTCTGGTGAAATTGTAATTTAGATGATTGAAAAATAACATCTACTTCCTAGTTTCTGAAATTCACATAACTTCCCTTTCACTTAAGGAGTGGAAAGGAGACCAAAGTGCTGATCCCGACTTAAGCACGTGTTTGAGCAGAGGCGTGACTGGCGCTCTTACTCTACGCCATCTTTCGGGGGTTTCTGCAGAGTACCCCAGCCAAAAGCGGACAACTTTGGGGTCCACAGCACCCACCTAGGCTTCGGCTCCAGGTCTCACCTGCCTGTGGGGTTGAGTGTCAGGGGCCGGGGAGTGAAGTCTCTGCCCCGACGTCCCTGGCCCCACCCAGGAAGTTCTGGCAGGTTGGCTGGCTAACCTACAGATGGAGCAAAATCTCAGTCCCTGCACATGGCTTAACGAGAAAGTCAGTAAAATCCAGAAATATGCCAGCTTCCATGTTCTGATTTTTCCATCAAAATATGTGTATTAATAACGATATAAAAAACCAGCAACAGAGATTGCCTAGGGAGGAGAACCAAGCTCTCTTTTCTTGGTGATACATCTAGCATATATCCTTGGGGGCCTGCTCTAGAATCTGTCCTGTTTACAATTACTCAGTGTGTGTATGTGTGGTTTTTTGAGATAAATTCTCACTATGTAATTCAGGTTGGCCTTAACTCTTATATAACCTAGGCTGGCCTCGAACTCTAGGTGATCCTCCTGTCTCAACCTCCCAAGTGCTGGGATTACAGATGTGAGATTCCACACCCAGCCCTACTATTACATATTCTTGCTTACTGTTTTTTGCAGCATGTTTATATAAAAGATTTAAGTTTGTAACAACGAACAGTGTTTAGTTTTTCCTGTCACACTGCTTCAGGCATTATTTCATGTCTGTGCATTACTTTGTCTTCAGCTGACCCTTCTCAATCCAAAACATCCTGTCTAATGTCACCAAACTAATCTTACTCTCCTGCTGAGTTGTGGTTGAAAGACTAGCATTAAACGTGCACCAGTAAAACCACTGTTTCTAAAAAAAAATGTTTTTCCACATTCTAACACCTCTTAAATTGGGATGTATCTAATTGGTAATGTTCATAAACATACTAAATGTGGAGAGAGAATCCACCAAATGGGATAAAACCAGCTCCAGAGTCAGTTTCCCCATCTGTATAACCTGAGTAACAGTACTCTTTTGCAGAGCTGGTGAAAGGATGAAAAGCATTTCATGGAAAGTGTTTAATTCACTGCTTGGCGCATGGGAAGGAAGCACTGTACCAGTGTTACCTGTCATTAGCTGCAGTGTGTCAGACGCTAAGCTTTTCCTATATTACTTAATTCTTAAAATTTTCTACAGGGTAACATTTCGAGAAATTAAAGATTGAACTTATGAAAACATCTTCAAGTTACATCACTAATTAGTAGCAGAATTCACATTAAATCCTAGGTCAGTGGTGGCAAACGTGTGGCCCACATGCTGCAGCAGGCTGTTTGTATCACTGAAAGCTCTAAAAGGCTGACCATCACTGTCTTCGGTCATGACTTCAAAGGCTATCACCTTAGGGCCGGAGATTTAGCGCAGAGGTTCTGCTGCCTGCCTTGTAAGCACAAGGACCCGAATTCGATCCCCAGTACCCCCCCGCAAAAAAAACAAAGGCTATCACCTTAATGGAATGATTTTAGGACATCAGACATCTCACATCCACATATAGGAAGACAGATTAGAAATCAAAAGTCTCTGTCTGTCTCTCTCTCATATGGAGAAGTGAACCCAGGGCCTCTGCACACTGAGATATATCTCCAGCCTTTTTATTGTTAATTTTGAGACTTGGTCTCACTAAGTTGCTCTAGGCCCAATTCGGGTTTCTTGAGGATCCATCCAGCTCAGCTCACACTTTGGTCCAGTACAGTTTGCATTATAAAAGGGGGGCTGGGGATTTAGCTTAGTGGTTTCGCCGCCTGCTGCGCAAGCGCAAGGACCCGAGTTCAATCCCTGGTACCAAAAAATAAATAAATAAAATAAATAAAAGGGTACATCTTGCAGGGAGAATTTAAGGGCCAAGGAAGCTGCCAGACAAAACTGACAGAATCAGTAACCTCATGAGAAAGACAAGACCAGAGTCAGGCAACTGAAAAACACCCTTTTTCTTTATTGGCAGCCCACTGAGAAAAGGGCTAGCTATCTTTTAGACCATCTCTAACATGTATACATCAAGCCCACCTTCACTTGTCGGGCAGTCTATCCTCATAGAAGCTAAAGCCCTCACTGGATTTTAGTTACCATCTTCTGGGCATTTTCCACCTTCGTTATGCTATTCTGGAGGTGAAGGACTAAAACCTGTGCAGTACTCGGTGTGTATTATACAGTAATTAAAATAAAGCAAAGGATATGTTCTATTTCCAATAGTCTATTTACCATTTTCAAGTATTCTGTCTGGATTTTACTGTAACAGCACACTAAACTGATGCTGCTAATGGTAAGATCACTTTTCTATGTTGTAAATCATGGCTCAGAACCTTAACTTATAAGCAGAATTTCCTGACTTCCTCCCTCAAGATTGCAAACTTTTACTACTGTGATAAAATTAAAAGTTTTCTGCTCACCATCATTAACTACAAAATTCTGCAATTTAATCCCAGTTACTTCTCTACCAGAAATAATCTGCAGATGTGTCAAGTACTTGTTCAAATGAGGAGGCCTATTATACTGATCCACAAGGTAACCTTTCCTTGTGCAGAGAAGTCATTTTAGGGTTACGTTTCCCTGTCTTTACTTGCTAGCAAGCTTGGAAATTCTGTACTAAAATTACAGTGGGCAAGATGGCAGTACTGTACTCAACCTGGTTATATTATCCACCTACATAAAATGCTACTTACAGAACAGAACCTGGGCCCCGTGGTACGACATATGCCAAGGCCTTTAGGAACCTTCTCCACCTCCCTTTCCACGCTGGCCATTCCTTCTCTACCCTACCAGGCATTCACTCTCCCTGCCTATACCGGAACACGGCTCCCACTCATCCACCATGACCAGTTTAACGGCCCCTCTTCTCCCTCCACAACCCTGAGCCTTCATCTCTTTCACTCACTCCAGTCTCTGGTCAAACTGCCACACCCTTCTATTGTGGCATCTATCAAATTTAGACTTATGGCAATTTCCCTTAGTGCTCTTGAGCAACTTCAGAGAGGAAGATTTAAAAACAAAACAGCAACAGGACTTTCAAGCAAACACAGCCATTCAGTCTCGAGAGGCAACAACCAATACTCTACAAGGTCCTGTGTTGCTAAGCTATGGTGTTCAATAGGTTTCCACTTAAATTTTCAACCTAGGATGGGTTCATCTGAATGTAACACCACCTTAGGCAAGGATACAGTGGTATACAATGTACACAATGTTTTGGGCTTTTTTCTACATTGAGAAAGATAATTTCTTCTGAGTTTTTGAGCCAAAATGAACATCCTTTGAGATGTTGCAAAATAGGTTTAAGAATCTTTGATCTAACGGGAAAACATTTCATCCCACAAAATGTTAAAAACTAGAAAGAAAATGCCATCACTGAAGGTGACATACTCCTTGCATGGCCGAGTAGATATTATCAAGCAAAACCAATGAAAAGGAATGACAAACTTTGGGGAAATATTTAAAAGCAAAAAAACAACCTTCTGGAGAACAACCAAAAGCAAGCAGACACAGGAGGAAACTGTCCAGAAGCAGCCAGTGAGGTTTGTTTTTGTTTTTTCTCTAGATCTTTTAACCTGAAGGCAGGCATCTGTCTCAGGCTGGGGAGCTAAAACTGAAAGAAAACATACAGCCCTAACACCCTTACCAGTGTGAACACACAGTACCTGCAGGTCTGACCCCCGCCCCGTACCATTCACTGTGCTACAAACGGATCTAACCTCTTTTATTGGTCTTTTTACTAATAAAATTAATAAAAAGCCACTCAGTGGGACAGTCCCACATGTACTGCCAGTGGTTTACGCTGCCCAGAAGCAAGACAACCACCACCAAGGAAAAGTGGGAGAGCCATGAAAAGAAATGTCAAAATAGGTATAGGTAAGAGCCCCAGGGAACTAAAACAAGGGAGGCAGATAGCAACTGTAACAATATATTAGGCTAGGCTTTGAAAGAAGAAAACATTCAGGATCTCCAAGATACAATGCAAAATTATCCAGCATGGCGCATAAACCATTTTCAATGGGGGGGGGAAATGCCGATCATTGGACAATTTCAAGACATCTATAACTATGGTTAAGGATACAAGGAAAAATATCTCCGATGACGGAGAAAACATACTGACACGTGAAAATCCCACCACAACCCTTTCAGCTACCAAACTAAATGCAGTAGCTTGGGAATGAGGCAGTGAGGAGTTGCAAAGTGGTATCAACAATACAGAAAACCATGGACAATTACAAAGGAAAGGAAGGAATATGCCCAGCCTAAATCTATTGCTCCATTATCCATAGTTTTTAGTCAGTTATTACAGCTATTATTACAGTTATATTACAGTTATTATAAGGTTTTAAACCACTTTACAGGAAGGAAAAAAGGGGGGCTCAAGGTCACAATTGATAGTACTAAGTTCTGGGCTTTATTTGCTTTTCTTTTCCTTTTCTTGGCAGTGCTGGGGCTTGAAACCATGGCTTTGCAAATGGCAGATAGTAATCTACACTCACAGCCCTAGGCATTTTTAAAACTTGGCGTTGAAATCTTTGGTTGGAAGGACTTGGAGGTAGCCAATAATGCAGAAATTACTGTAATAGACTAGGCAATTTCTTTGAAAATGTACATGGTCAAAATCTCTCTTTGGTAAGAACTTTCAAAATTATAGCTTATTCATGGTTTTTCCTGATTTTTCTGGGCCCATTCTGATCTCCCACAATTAATGAAAGGTTAGGTGGGCCTGGTCATGTAAACACAGGGCATCCTCACGTAGCAATGCTATGCAGCATCAAAATGACAGTACAGGGCTGGGGATTTAGCTCAGTGGTTCCGGTGCCTGCCTCGCAAGCGCAAGGACACCTGAGTTCAATCCCCGGTACCAAAAATAAAAATAAAAATAAAAAAATAAAAAATAAAAAAAAATAAAATGACAGTACAGAAACCTTTACTGATAAGCTGATCAGAATGTTATTATGGGGAAAAGCAGGCTACAAAAATGTATAATACCTCCTGATTTTTGTAAAAAAAAAAAAAAAGGAACTTGGAATCAAAATAGATTATGGATTTTATTTTTTGAGCTTATTTTATTTGCTCTTATTATTTTTCCTACAATATATTGTGCGGTTAAAAAAAAGAAACACACTTGTCAAATATTTAATTGGTCACATAGCTATTTATAAAAATTTTCTTGTATTAGTTAAAACTGCTTCTCAATGTATACCTTTTACCTCAAAAAACGAAACAAATCCGGGTGCTTATTTCTCCCTTTCCTGTATCACTACACAAGGTGCGACCAACATCTCTCATCCAGGGTTTTGCACGAGCCTCTTTCCACGCCCTCCCTGCTTCTGCCTCCAACCAAACCCACTCTGCCCTTGGTCCTACCCAGTCATCTATCCCAAATGGAAACCTGATCCTATGCCTCTTCTACAACCTTTTGCTGACTCCTCACTGCCTCAAATTAAGATAAAGCGAGATTCTTCAGTAGGACACACTCCTGCCCCTTCTACCTCGAGCAGGAGAGCTGGCGGCTCATACACACCAACCTTCTTCCTGGCACCATGTTTTTTCATATTGTCCTGTCACCTAGAATCCCCTGATCCCTTCTGTTAGTATTGTTTTCAGGAAAAATCTTACTCCATCTTCAAACCAGATTAGATGGCTCCATTCAGATCTAATTTAAATCGTGGCTCCCTATGTAGTTCAGGGTGGCCTTGAACTTACTAGGTAGCCCAGGTTTGGCCTCGAACTCGCAGCGATCCTCCGATCCTCCTGAGTGCTGGGATTACAGGCGTGCACCACCACGCCAAGCTTACACTGTGTCTTAATGTTCCCTTTACGTGAAAAGTAACAACTCCGCCAGAGCAAGGGTTGTTCAAATCCATTTCTAATCTGTCTTGAAGAAAAAAAGAGTACCAACCGCAAGAGATGTAAAACGCAGGTACTCAAGTGTTTGGCCCACTGGAAACAAGCACCACGTGTCACCTACCACTACTGTCATCCAGTGTCAGGGGACCCAGCAGTACACGGGCCACCGTAGCACCTTCGACTGAACTCAAGCGGGACGACGCCTTTGTATAGCTAAGAAAACAAGGACGAACCAAGGTCACCGAGCTGCCGAAGCAGTGAAGCCACCGTGCGACCCCGCGTCCGGTCCGACTCCAGGACCCACACGGTCCACACTGACACACACTGGCTCCTCTCTCGCTGAGAACCGACTCGTCCTGTTTCACTGCTAGAAAACCAAACCACCACAAACCAGGCTTCTTCCCAGCAAGTGCCCTGCCCCGTCCCTCCTGACACCTCCATTCTAAAGTTAACCCTAGTGTTTCGCGCTCTGCGATCAGCCTTTCGCAGAGACGGACTTGGGCCTCGGAAGCCCAGGAGACCCCAGTGAGTTCCAGCGGGCGCGGTGTCCGCGGTGCCCTTGATAGCCGGCTTGGCGGAGTTATGCACCGAGCGCTTCCGACAGAAAAGCACAAGAGCCGGAAACGCGGGCCGGGCCGCGCGTCTCTGGGCCCGGAGCAGCTCCCGGGACCCGGCAACCGCGCCCCGCGCCCCGCGCCCAGCGCCGCAGGACCAAGGCAGCAGCGTCCTCGCCCGCCGCCGGCCGTCCACGCCCAGGCTCCGCCGGCGCCCGCCGCGAAGGAAGCGAGGCCCGAGGAGGACGGCAGCAGAGCTGGGCTGTCCGCAGCCTCCTTACCCACGGGGCGGTGAGGCCGGCAGCCCGAGCCCGCAGCGCCAAGAAGAACATGGCGGCAACGCCGTCCCCCTTTCCAGGCCGGAGGCCCGCGCCCAGCGCGCGAGGATGCATGGCGCGCGCGCGCGCGCGCGCGCGCGCCAGAGCGCGTCGGGACGCAAGGGGGCTGCTGGGTTAGAGGGCGGAGCCTTCGGGGAGGGGGCGGGACACGGAGCTCCCGGAGCTCGGGGACCGCGCCCGCGTCTAGGGCGTCCTGCGCGGGTGATGGAGGAGGTGTCCCCACTCCCCCGGTACCGGGGGTGCAACGCCGATCTGGGTTATGGGGCGAGCGTCCCTCTGGGAGAGTCTGCAAAGGGTTGACTTCCACGCCTGTAATCCCAGCACTCTGCGAGGCTGAGGCAGGAGGAATGCAAGTTCGGGCCCAGCCTGGGCAATTTAGCTACGTATGAGACCTTATATAGGCTGGGGATGTAGCTCAGTGCGAAGACCTTGGGTTCAATCCCAGCGCTGAAAACAAATAAATAAGCACTGCAAGCCACTGTGAATCTTTAGAAATCACGGAATTCAGGGCCCAGAGGCCGCCACCTCGAGCGCCAGCCGTGGACACCGGGCACCTGGGCTCCGATCCTTTTGATGGAGGGCCTCCGGGTGAGACTTCGGGTCTGGAATGCGCCTGCGAATAGTAGAGAATGGGCAGTAAAGGATGCGAGGTTGGCACAGGGTCACCGCAGGCCTTGGCACTTGTGTGCACGCCAGGCGTTTTCCGTGACTAAACTCGAAAAGCCACTTCCTTCTCCGTGTTTGCTTGGTCACCTCTGGAAACCCCAGCAGGGCCTTGGCCTGAGGCCCGGTCTCGGTTCCTCCTGTCCCGCGCCGCCTCCAGTACCCGTTCCTCCCGACCATTCCTCTGCTTTAATAAACTTACCAACAGTTCCAGGCCTTTCACAGCGGCACGGGCATTTTAAAGGCTTATGCCCTTTAGTTTAAAACCTCCAAGGCACTCCAGGGCGGCCCTCGCTGTCACTGGCTTGCGGGGGTTCTTGCTTTCACGATCATGGAAATTAAGAATTTACAGGCACAGCTTCCCTTGGAAGGTAAGAGAAGGGCAGGGAAGAACTGCAGCCCGACCAGTAGCAGAAAGGGGACACGCTGATGAGCAGAATCAGACTGGCTCACCCACAAAAGCATCCCCAGCCCGTTTTATTTTTATTATTTTTTGAGACAAATTATCAATAAATTGCCCACACTTAAATTGCCATCCTCCCGCCTCAGCCTCCCAGAGTGCTGGGATTACAGGAGACCAGCTTTTAAGTAATCCAGCCATGGTCTGGTGGATCATTATCTCAGTTTTGGTTTCAAGCTCCGGTTGAATCCTCGAAACTTGAGGGGCAGTTAAGATTTCCACGGAGGAATCCTCAGGACTTGCGGGCCATCTCAGGCCTGTGAGGCTCTGCTGGAACCCGGGGCGACCATGGACTTAGGTGAGGACATCTGGTCTCGGTCTGAAGGGCAGTGAGATAAGTTAGGTAAATCTGGGGCTAATAAACCTTGTTTTGCCAGTTCTTAGACAGATGCCCCTAAAGGACTGACGCGCTTCCACACAGAGGGGAGACCCAGTTTCACAAAGTGAAGGCCAAACGTTGCTCTACTTTAGTTACCTGTTGAGCACCTGTAGGCCCAAGGGAAGTCATGGCTTTCAGCAAAAACCACTTTTAAGGCCTCGTGTGTCTTGGGAGAAAACAAATCATGCTTTTCATGAATGCCAGGTACAGGGCCTCAGCGTCCGTCCTCTGTCCCTGTGGTGGTCTCTGCTTACATCATGACTGTCACTGTGAATCGCACCTTACAGGCACGGACATCCGAGGCACGGGGGGCTTCCAGCCAGGGATGCCCAGGGCCTTGGCTCCCTTTCTCTGCATTATGTTTAATACCAGTTTACCTCTTCTAAGTCAGCGTACGTTTCATCATAAAATTACCTAAAAATATGTAGTACCCCGATACACTTAATGGTCTTACAGTTCTTTTTTTTTTTAGACAGGGTCTTGCTATGTAGTTCAAACTGGCCTTGAGCTCACTATGTGGTCCAGGCTGGCCTCCAACGTTTAGTGATCCTCCTGCCTCAGCCTCCCGAGTGCTGGGATTACAGGTGTGTGCCACCATACCCGGCAAGGTTTTAGGATTCTTATGCAACTAAAAGCAAAATGTCACAAATTAAATACAAACTTACAAATGGATGATGCTAAGATGGCATGGATTCTTTAAATCTGCTCTTACTGGATTATGTCAGGGCCTTCTCTGCCCTCCTGATCGGGAGCCGTCCTCCAGATCTTCCCCAAATACCCCTGCCTTACTTCCATCGAGTTTGCCAGCAGGTTACAACCTCCGTGGGTGCAGACACCTGCCTTCCCGTCTTACACTACGCCTTGCATGTGGGTGCCACTCAGTAAATATTTCTTGACTGAATCAGTGCACATACTCTGTCTAAAAGAGTCATATGTCTCTGGTTGGAATTGTGGTTATTTGTATGTGTATTCAGAGCAATACTGGGTTCATTTGAGAACCCCCAAGGTAGAGCAGTTCCCAGGTCGATTAATTCAGCTACTCAAGAATGTCCTCACAGCTAAAGAGCCTTCCATCCTTCTACTCCACTGTATTCAGCCATGACTCCTATCATGGTCACAAAAGAGCTGCAGCGGCTGCAAGCATCACATGCAGATGACAGCGTCCCAAAGGAGGGAAGGAATTCTTACCTCTCCAGTGTCCCAGTGTCCCTCTGTCTCATGGGCATCCGTGTCGAGGTGGTTGAGAGGGCAGCTCTAGGAACAAACTGCTGGGTTCTAGCTGTGAGACTTATGGCAAGTGAACCTCTCTGGGCTTCCGTTTAGCTATAGTACCTTTGTCATAGCTTTGTTGTTTGTTTGTTTGTTTGTTTGTGACAAGGTCTTGCTAAGTTTCTCAGTTGTCCAGACTGGGCTCAAATTTTTTTGTCCTCCTGCCTCAGCCTCCCACAGTGCTGGGATTAGAGATGTGCACCACCATACCCAGGTTGCCATCAGCATTTTGGAGCAGGTGCAGCCCCCTCTTTTTACAGAGGCTGACCTGAGATACAGACCCTTCCTACATCGTGTTACATATTATAACACCCAACCCAGGGCCTCCGCGTGGTTCAAAAGGAAAGAAAAACAAGTACTGTGCCGAAATTGCCAGATACTGAGCAGCTGCACTGGTGAATAAATGACCGAGTGTCCTGTTACATGCAGTGGCGTCCTAATCGCGTCTGTCAGCTGCATGGCAAGACGCTGTCTGTCCATCTGGGTAGCAGTCAGGCCAGGCCCTCGCTCTTGCTCCTCTGTTTCTTGTTTACATAGTCAAAGGTCAAAAGCTGACTAAGAACAGATGGGCTCTTTCCGATTGCATCATTTTCCAACTTTTCAAAGGGCTTAAAATAAACCATCATTTTCCATTATTTACTTAAGAGATTTGTTGTGCAAAATGTGTAGTTCTCGGGAACCCCCTTGTCATGCTTACAAAGTACACAGCCCAGCTGACTCATAGGCCACCAGCACCAAGCCACGCAGTGCAAATCGCCCCAAACAAAGGGACAACCAAACCCGCTGGTCATGTCAGTGGCTGTGTGACTTTCCACAAATATCTTTTGTGTGTGGAATCAGGAAATCCCTCCTCCTTGACAGAAAGGAAACGGCAGGCACCTTCTCCAAAGAAAAGAAAATCTGCTCTTACTTTCTCCCGGACCACCCCGGACCAGTTCAACATTGTGCATACTCAGGCGTGGCCAGGGCTGAGGCGGGGGTGACATCCTTCCCAAATATGTGTGCAGAATTCAGCTAAAGCCTCTGTCTTTAGCAGCAGCTGCTGCAAGATAGCCAAGTGAGAAAAGTTATAAAAAGCAATATTGAAATATCTGTTCATGCCAGTGGAAGTGCTATCTGGTTTTGCGTGTGGGGTTACCCTTTGGAATGTTGATTTGCTCTAAAAATAAGAGAATGGCTCAGAAAAGCTTTGGTGTTTTGAGGGCACTTCCCAGGGAGACAGCACGTGTGTATGCTGGAAAGAAGGAAGAGAAAGAGGAGAAGAAGTAAGGGGAAAGGAAGAGAGAAGGTGTATCTGTTCTAAAACTAAGCACTCATTTCTCTTGATGAATAAACTTCCTTTTCTAGCCAGCATTTCACCTGTGGCAAATGACAAAACAGTGTGAGCCTCCTCCCCTGTGGTCCTGGGGTGAAACCCAGGGCCTCTCACGTGCCTCTCATGGCAAGCACTCTACTACTGAGCTACATCCCAATCCTTGATCACATTCTGTTTTTCACTACTGGGATCAAAACCAGGTCTTTGCCCATTACTTTCCCAGCCCTTTTTTATTTTATTTTTTTTTATTTTGAGAAAGGGTCTTGCTAAATTCCCCGGGTGGAGCTAAAATTTGCAATCCTCCTGCCTCAGCCTCCCAGGTGCTAGGATGACAGGCATGCATCACCACGCCCAGCTCACTTTCTTAACACCTACTGCAGTCCCAGACTTTTACTTCCAAAACCTGATATATGTCCTTGTGTAGAGAAGAACCTGGACAAGGCTTAATGTGGATTCCCTCTTCCGCCCGACCCTAGCTCTAAAGCCCTGTATGTCTTACTCACTGTCTTCATCATTAAGACTCAATGCAGCTCAAAGGAGTAGAGGTTTATTTTGGCTCATAGTTTCAGAAGTTTCAGTCCATGATTGGCAGGAGGAAACACAGACATGGCCTGGTGGCAGGAAAGCTGCTCACGTCATGGTGGTGAGGAAGCAGGGGAGGGTAGGAGGGGGGTTCACCCCCTCCATGTCACCCCCAGCAAGCCCACCTCTTCTGAGCCAACCCGGTCTCCTAGCAACCCAGTCTCCTAGCAACAAGGGCGACATCAGCCCCTGATTGCCATCCTCCAAAGCCCAGTCTGTGAGCACTCAAGGCTTTTGGGGGATATCCGGATAAAAGCCACAAGCGCAACACAACTCCTTAGAGTACATTCAGTGCCTCAGTTCTTTCTACTAAACATCTACAGATAATCGAGATTCTAAATCCCATTTGCCCAGGGCCTGGGCCGGGAAGACTCCTTCTGACCATTATGGCATGCTCAGATTTTACTTGGTACAGTTTCTATTTGTTCATAATATAGATTTTTCTCAGATTAGGATTTTGAAAAGTATGATTGAGAGATGAAAACACCCAGGGCCAACATGGGGAAAGCCTTGTTGACACCTGTTCAGTCAAAAAAACTGTTAGTGAAGTAGTAGATTTCCCCTTTCTGTGCCCACTTTTCAAAGTCCATGTTTTGTTAAACCTGGAGCCTGGTGCCGAGGGCCCAGCTCAGTGTACAGCATTTGCCTAGTATGCCCAAGGCTCTGGGTTCAATTCCCACCAGCACACACACCAAAAAAAAGTATATCCTGGTTGGTGGACAGAGGGTGTCTGAGGAGTAGAGAGTTTATCGTTCTCTTGACCATTCCTCCATCCATAATCCATTCCATGCTCTCCAAGCTCCTTTCATGTGTTGAGGAGGCTCTGCTAAATGTTGAAGGTGTTGAGGTAAAGGATATAGGCTCACCCCCAGGACAGTCCAGCCATGAGGACAGGACTGAATTCCTGGTGAATTTGTCCCCCAGAGAGAACAGAATTTCCCATCAGATCAGCCCCCTCTAACACCTGAAGTTTATTTATTTATTTATTTTTGGTACCGGCGAACAAACTCAGGTCCTTGTCCTTGCAAAGCAGGCTGTGGAACCACTGAGCTAAATCCCCGGCCCTGAAGTTTATTATTTTTGTAGTGCAATTTTCCAACTAGTCCTGTTGTGGTAGGAACACCAAAATCCAAAATGACGAACATTATTGAGCACCTGCTGTAACCAGGGGCTGAAGACACTGTGGTAGGCAGACTTCTCAGGCATCCCTCCGTGATCTACTTCCTGTGTTCCTGGGCTTATTATGTAGCCACCTCCCCCAGGGTGCGCGCCTAATGAGTTGTTTCTAACCAATAAAATATGGCACAGGGCATGGATAAGTGACATCCATTCCACAGAGAGCTTGGAAAAGATTGACTCTGCTGCTTGCCTCCTTGGCTTGCACCCAGCTGTGTTGGAAAGCGTGGGAGTGAGTGACCCTTGGCCAGTCACAGCCATGCTGGAAGCTGGCCTCGGTCTGCAAGGGCTGGGTCTTGGAGGCAGATTCTCCCGCTAAGACCCGCCTGGGGCTGCCAATGTGATTCCGCACTGTGAAAGAGAGAAAGGTGCCCCAGTCAGCTGTGCGTGGATCTCTGACTCAGAAACTAAGACAATGCAGGTATCGTGCTTTTAAGCTGTGAGGTTTGGGTGATCTGCTAGGCAGCATAACTCATCCAGAACAGCCCAGTTCTCTGGGCTCCGGCCGCAGGGTGGCTAACCGTGATTCTGCCGGTTTAACCCCAGGCTCGAGCCACCTTCGTTTCTGTTCCTATGGGTTGCCCAGCTGGAAAGGGTCTTGAGCAGCTCTGTCTGGTTAGTTCTTCTCCCATAGGCCGGCCGCCTAGAAAGAATAATGGCGCATACTGGCATTCCCCAGCAGAGTCCGTGACTCTCAAGGGCAGGAGTGTTGTGTGCTCGTTTCTTCACCGCCAGACAGCCACAAAGCACCTTACTCTCATTTTGCCCTGTGATGGGGGGGTTGGGTGGCCACCAGCTGTCTGCCCCTCCCCCTCACTTCCCTTTGCCCCTCCTTGCACCCTAACTGCCTGGGGCAGTTTGCTTCAGTGTCCCCCCAGGCCATCTAGTGCGTCCCCCTCCCCGCTATCAAACTGCGCTCTTCACTCCAGCAGGAGTGCAGCCAGACAGGCAATGTGGCACCCCCTTCAGCCCACGCTGCTGCAGATTTGAAGAGAGGGCACCCTGGAGCGACAAAGATCAGGAAGAGAGAGAGGGATCTGGGGCCCTTATTTGTACACCCAGCATTCTCCCTCACGGACACAGGCCTGCAAGCTGCTTTGTAAGTAGCACTTCCCAGGGACTTCTTGGGTTTTGGTCTAGGAGAGTGCGATAGCCCTTGTTTCAACTGGAGTAAGAAATGCACCGCTAATGATTAGCGTAGCTCTGGGTGTGGCTGAAAGGATTTACTGAAGACAGAAGACCCGCCTTGGGTGTGAGTGGCCCCTACCAACAGGCTGTGTCCCGAACAACAACAACGGAGTAAAGAAAGGAACAAAGAAGGAAGCCTTACTTCTTCAAGGCAGCTCCATTCTCCACCCTCACCTTGGAGCTCATCTGCTGGCTTCCAGCACGCAAACAGCCCTTTCACATCTTCCACACCTGACTTTGAAGCATAAGCCCTGTTAAAATAATGACTCACCTTGGAGGTCCTGTAAACCTGTTCACGATTTATTTCTTGGGTAGTGTGGGCTCCAGAAGTCCTGTAAACCCACTTGGGACTTGTACCCTGAGTAGCACAGACACAGCGGTCATTTCCAAAGAAAGAGAAGAAACACGAAGAGCTGTTGATACCAAAGAGCTCCAGAGACCAGCAGCAGAGACCAGGTGGTGGCCGGCAGTGGCAGTGACCAGCACCCATTAGAGCTCATTTACAGTGTCCAGCCTAAGCTGGTGCTGGAAGGTGATAGCTGGCAGCAGCTGGCTGCATCACCTGTTGGCATCTGGTGAAATCAGGGCTGCCAGCAGAACTGCACTTTGCCAAGTCATAATTTCCATATGAATTGAGCAAAAGAACCCTTGGCTGATTGCCACCATAGCACCTAGTTCATGGTCTTTCAGATGAGAGCAGGCTCACCAAACAGAGGATAATCAACTGTAATTCTGGAATTGGTAAAGAGCGAAGCAGTGAGTAAGACCTCTGCAGACGCCCCTGTGCCTGGAGGAGGGGCTAGGGGCTGTCAGCATCTCCTGTGGGGCTCTAACTGCAAGTCGTGAGCCAAGCATAAGGACCCTAGGAAGCCCATTGCTGACCTGAGTGCTTCCTCCCGAGGCTTCCAAAGTCACCAAGACGACAGCTTTGCTGCTCACCATGACAGGCATGCCCTGGCAGCTGGCCATGCCACCGCAGCTCCACCTGATGACCCCAGGGAATGGAGGGGAACCCCCATGCTCGCTCACCTTCCCTGCATGGGGTAATTCAGAGATGCTGTGTGGTCATGCAGGTGCTCATGGGGGAAACCACTCACTTCACCCCCAAAATAAATCCCTTGGACTCAAATCCTCCTCTTAAAGTTGTCTTCTGGGAAAACCCAACACAGGACGCTAGAGGACGAGGAACCGTGGAAGGTGATAGAGTTCTCTGCTAGATAAAATGGTCCCAACAACCCTGCATCCTAAAATGGCCCTGCCTACAGGAAATGAGTCACTCCAGAGAGAACAAAGACCTGCTTTTTCCCCACCTCACCCCGAGTCGTAGCCAATCATCTGCCTCTACCACACTACCCCCAGTCCTTATAAACCTCACCCAGCCAGCCCCAGGTTGCCGCTCTTGACGTTGTTCCAGACAGCCCGATAGCTCTGTCCTTTGATAAAAGCCTTGCCTTGGGTGTTCATGATTCGGCTCATTTTATTTCTCTCAGAAGGAAAAGGCACGGTCTTGCCTAGAAAGTCCCTGAAGTCATCTTGCTCAGGCACTGGGGAATCTGCACCCATTCCAGGGTGATGAACAGAAAGATGAAAATGCTGTGCTTAAGATCTGCTTCATGCAGAGACTGGACTCAGTGGAGAAGAGGACAAGCTGCCCGGCCATGGAACAGGAAGGCTGGAGAAGCAGCAGGGGAGGAAGGGCTGGAGCTGGGCCTCAGGGTTGAAGCACTGTCTGCCAGGGTCATGCACCTGGGGTAACAGCGGCCTCCTGGCCCAGGGCGACAGTCACAATGTGGGACTCCAGTGATGTAGGCACTGGCTGGTGTGCCAGTGAGTGTCCACTGTCAGCCCCATCCCCAGAACCTGCCATGGAGCGCGAGGAAGACAGGTCTCCGGGTGTTCCAGGGAGTGACTGATGCACAGACTGGTTGAATGTCCTGTTTGCAAGACTTATACATGTTGGGATAAACTTGTATTAAGTCTGCTAGAAGGTGGGGAGGAGTTATAAAAATCGTAGGCTTTTTGGGGAATGTAGCTTTCTAACAACACTTATGAAACCATGCATGGCATTGTAGGCTGAGGCAAGAGGACTGCAAGTTCAAATCCAGCCTGGGCAATTAGAGACTTCACAAGATTCTGTCTCAAGATGCAAAGGGCTGGTGATGTAGCTCAGTGTAAAAGCCCTGGGTTCAATTCCCAGTACTGCAAACAAGAGAAAACAAACATACTTAGGGTGCTTGTATCAAACATGATATCCTTAGGCTGACAAAAGAATCTAAAGGAGGAAAACATCAAGCTGTACTTTTTTCAGAAGAAAATTGCTCATCTTATTGAAAGATATTTTTTTAATTATGTAGACTTTCCAATAATTTTTAGAATATTGACAAATAAAATAATCAACATAGAACTTGGTTTCCTTTAGCAAAGCGGGGGAAGATGGAAGTCACCCAAGGCCAAGGCCCACCTCTGTCCAGGCGAGTTCCAGCCAAGTCCCAGGGGACAGCTTGCCCCTTGCTCTGGCCTCTTGCCCTCTTAACCCTCCTGGCTCTTGAATGGCAAAAGTCAAAAATATTACCTTTTCCCCTCTTGTTTAATAGAAAACTTTTTTTAAAAATAAAGTTTGGTTTTAAATCATATGCAAATAATCTCTGAACAATTTGGCAAAGGCTTATTTTGTTTCTGTTTCTGGCCTTTTAATGTATAACGATTCAGTTTTACTTTTTAAGTAAAGCTGATTTTAATCTCACCAATCGGCACAAGGACACGGCTCAGACCACAACCCACGACGAAGAAGTCTGGAGCCGGCAGAGCGGTAACTTTGAGGGGCACGCATCATACAGGACAGTCACTCCCCAAGTCACTGCTGAAAGAGCAAACACACTTTAGAATTTCAACTCAGCCATGGACTTTGTGTTGTACCTTGGTTTTCTGGTTTCTGCTTAACAGTTCAATGCAGTCTTAGGTCGGTGGACAGCTGGGTATACCAGAGGGCCTTGTTTTGGTTAGTGGGTTCTATATGCTTAGCTCTATATGTTCTATTCCCTCTATATGCTTAGCATGTCTTTGTGAGATTTTTTTTTGTAACTTTGTCTTCCTTTGTTGTTTCCTATTTGTATTTTGTTTGCCCATAAATTCATTTTTGCTTACTAATTTTCCCCTTTTATATCTTGACTGCTACTACTTTGCTGTGGCCTATTTTTAAATCACTTTACAGTTAAGCTTTAACTCTTGGTATGATTTATAAATTACAATCAAATTGAAAAATGCTCTCCTTTATGATTCATGTTCTTTCGGTCTTAAGAAAGTCTGCCAGGGCTGGGTATTTAGCTCAGTGGTGCTGTCACCTGCCTCGCAAGCGCGAAGTCCTGAGTTTGATCCCCAGTACCACAAAAAAGAAAGAAAGAAAGAAAGAAAGAAAGAAAGAAAGAAAGAAAGAAAGAAAATAAGTCTGCTTAACTCAAGGTCATACAAGCAATCTATATACTTCCTTCTAATAATATAAAATTTTTGTTTCATATACAGCTCTTGTGTGTGTGTGTGTGTGTGTGTGTGTGTGTGTGTGTGTATGGTATTGGGCATTGAACCCAGAGCCTTGTGCATGCTAGACAAGCCCTGTACCACTGAGTTACATCCCTAACCCTTAACAAATTTTATTTTGAACAGGGTCTTACTAAGTTTCCCAAGCTCACTTTGAACTTCTGCCGCACCCTCCAAAGCAGCTGGGATTATAAACATGCACCTCCTGTTTCATGTATTTTCTACAGCTGTCTCTGTAAGCTATCTATGAACAGAATGTTGGGTAGGGATCCAATTTTATTTATTTATATATAAGAAGCCATCGTTTCCAATAGTGTTATTTTTACAATGGAAATAGCTTTATTTGAGTCTTACTAATTATATAAATAATTCACAATCATTAAAATAAAAGCAATAGTAATTGGGCTGGGGATTTAGCTCAGTGGTTCTGCTGCCTGCCTTGCAAGCACAAGGACCCAAGTTCGATCCCCGGTACCAAAAAAAAAAATAGTAATCATGATTATTTTTATGGTGGTATGCATTGAATCCAGGACCTCATATGTGCTAGCTGTGTACCCTACCACTGAGCTATATTATAATTATTAAGAAATATGAAGAACAGGGGCTGGGGATTTAGCTCAGTGGTGCTGCCTCCTGCCTTGCAAGTGCAAGGGCCTGAGTTCGATTCCCGGTACCAAAAAAAAAAGAAATATGAAGAAAAATACTGAAAGCCACCTGAAATCCTGCTTCCCTATGATGTTGTTCCCATCGATATGTTCAATACTATTTGTCACATAGCCTATCTTTGCCCCTTGCTTACAGTATCAGTCTGTCATTCCTGGAGAATACTTTTCTAGTGTTTAGGCAAATGGAGAATTATTACTAGATTTGGGTGTAATGTATAGACTTTTAAGTACGAAAGGATTTTTGACTCAGGACACACTATGATTGCCTGATTTCATTAAGCAGAAAGAGTAAGGGAAGCAAGTAAGGACTTCCCAAGGACAGCAAGAAAGCAGGACAGCGAAGAAACAGATGCCTGCAGGGCAGGCTTACCTCACTAAAGGTTTTAAACTGGAGACCTCAGTCTTCCTCTCACAAGTGAAGCATCTCTACCATTTCACAGAAGTGTAGAGGTGCATGCGGATTCAGAGCCACTTCCTAGAAAAGCACTGCATAACCGATTCACCAGAATGCTGAGAAGCAGGGACCACAACTTCACCCTCCGCGTGCACAGCGCCATCCAGGGTGCTCAGACTTTGCCATCCCTCATGAGCTTCATAGTTAAATTTCTCCAATGGTACCCGGAAAAGACAACTGATTTGTGAATTGAAAAAATCATTAATACCGCAGATAGACCATATTTATCAGCATTTGGGGAGGGGAGTGCTTTTGCTTTCTGCCCTTGAGTCCATGTGGAGGCTGAGTGAACGTGGAGGAAGCTATGCAGCCGCTGTGTAGACGAGCTGCAACACATATGGCATGGAGTTTTCCAAATGTATCCAGTCATTATTCTTGTCTCTTCCAAGTGGTTTAAAATGTTTTAAAGTACAAACAGTCCCCAATTTAAAGTAGTTTGACTTACAATTTTTCCTCCTTATGGTGGTATGAAAGCCATCGGCACACAGTAGAAACCGTCCTTTGAGCTTTGATCTTTCCCAGGCCAGTGGTACGAGGAACCACGCTTGCTTGAGAGGCTGAACAAAGGCAGCAGCTCCCCATCAGCGTGCAACCAAGAGGCAAAGAACCAGTGCTCTGGGGAAACCCCAGCATCTTTTGGATGCACGTACTCAATAAATCACATGAGTCGCTGGGTGTGGTGGTGCACCCCTGTAATCCCAGCACTCAGGAGGGAAGGCAGAGGATCACTTCGAGTTCAAGGCCAGCCTGGACTACATAGGGACACCCCTGTCCCAAAGCAACAAAAACCAAAACAATGGAAAGGAAAGGAAACAAGAATCACATGAGTTATTCAACACTTTATTATAAAATAGGCATTGTGTCAGATGATTTTGCCCAGCTGCAGGATAATGTAGGTATTCCAAAGGTGTTTCAGGTTGCCTAGGCCTGAGCAATCATGTTTGGCCTGTCACATGTATTAAATCAATTTCAACTTAGGAAATTTTCAGTTTACCATGGGTTTATCAGAAGCTAAACCCATCAAAAGTCAGGGACAACTGTATTCAGCGTAGAGTTCAGTCACACATTTCAGTAGCATATGAAGCGGTTTGGAAGCATTGTGCAAGAGTTAAGTCCCTCACCCCAAATGCAGTGACGCAGAGAGCTACAAGATGAGGTGCATCTTCATCTTCCCCTTCTGGCACAACCTAAAGCCAAACTGGCAGAGAAGAAAACCACCAAAAAGTACAGCCAGCATGTGGGTAGGGTTGGATTCGCAGCCTCTGGCCTGTGACTTTGCGTGACTACTTTGCGCGACTACTTTGTGTGACTCCTCAAAGCACAGGCAGTTGAGAGTCTGATGACACTCAAGGCCACGCGCTGTGATGTCCAAAATTAACTCAGCTGCTAACTGTGCTACTGCCTCCGCGGTTTGATTGCACCCTGCCTTCCTTGAGAACGCCCCCAAGGGATAAAGAGGATGTTGCTCATATGTGCATTTCTGAGTTTTTTTTTTTTCTTAGTGGACAGAAATTTTCCATTGTGTGGGGATTTTTTGGTCTCATCTGAAATCTGGTTTCCACGTAGCCTGGCGCTATTAGTCCAGTCATTTTACCTGACCTCTTTCTTTACTTTGGGCACAAGACAAGGCCGAGCTCATTCTTTCGTGACAGCCACTCTGCCACCTAAGCAGAACTAACCGTCAAAAGAGCAGGCGAATTGTAATTCTTAAAAAATCCATAAGCCAGCAGTTCCTTTTAACCACAGTGACTTTCCCGGCTGGCTCGTTGTGCTGAGGCAGCGGCGCGGCTGCACAGCAGAGCGAGGCTTGGCCCCGCCTCCCTTGGCAGGAGGGCGCTGTGGCGCGTGCAAGCTCTGCTGTCCTGCCCTTCCTGTGGGACCCAGTATGGCGTTCTAGTGATTGTTAGCATGCGGACTGAATAAACGCTCGGCTTCACTGATGTTCCCAGCCTTACATTTGCTAAACTGTGTCAACCAGATGGCAGCAAGGACATCTGTGGCAGTACAGAAATCAAGAGATGAGAAAAGGAAATAAAGGTGAGATAGTATAAGGTTTTCGTTCAGATCTTATTATAATAAATAATAAGAGGGGTGTAGCTCAGCGGTAGCATGTGCGAGGCCCTAGAAGTACAGACACGTGCGCGCACACACACACTAAGTAAATATAATAAAAAATGACAGAGGCAGGAGCTCAACAACTTGCCAATTTGATAATATAAGCGGCTATGATATATGTAGAGAAATGTGTATAGTGGGCTGGGTGTGATGGCGCACGCCTGTGAGCCCAGCATTCCTGGGCTACATAGTGAGTTCAAGGCCAGCCTGAACTAACAGGAGACCCTGTCTCACCCCCACCAAATATATGTATAGTGGGACTTTATATATATA